TGTATATATACATATGTATGTATGCATGTGTCAATTGACTGGCTCTTTGATAGGCAAAATGTGTAAGACCTTTGGTGTCTCGGGTTCGAGGCTCGCTTTAAACAACACATGTGGTGGACTGCAAATGCACTTTGCGATCTATTATTAAAAAAAATGTATTTATGTATACTTACCTATTTATCTTAATATATACATACATATGTATGTATATGTACATACATATGTATGTATATGTGATATATGATACTATCTATTGTGATTAATGTTCTTTATCTAATTCTTTTTCTTTTTTAAGAGGGGAACAAATGACCAACGAAAATTGAAATATGATACTATGTAACTGCCACATGACATTATTGTGAGTAACATTTGCATTATTTAATTTTTTTTCATTTTTATTGTTTGATTATAGGATTATAGCCAATCTATTTAACTAAATTTGAGTTTTGTAATGATAATCTGTTAGAAAAAATATATTCTTGTTGATTCATTACAAATTAATCTTTCAAGGATAAACTTAAAGTTATGAACTACACTAATTAATTATGATTGCAAAATCCATTGTCTTATAATAATTCAATTATACTTGAAAGAATAAGAAATAAAATGTAAATTTTAAAGGAATATTCTTGTTCAAAATCTATTTCTATCTTCTAATTTTTCTTGTTTTACTCATTTAAATAAAATATATTATAATAAAAACTCTTTCCAATGTGTTTGAATTATAAAGATGTTTCCGAAAATATGAGAATGAACTTTGTATTTTCTTTTAAAATTTTTATTTTTCCTTATATTCATTTGATCATTTGTCATTATCCTTATATTAATTACTTCTATTTTCTTTTTCAATTTTATTAGAAGATACTCTATGTACTTGCACGGGGAATTTTGTTAGTTATATACAAGGGCGTTTCTCTTCTATAGTAAAGGCGCGACTTAAGAGGCTGTTTGGGATAACTTTTATTTTATTTTATTTATTTTTATTTTTATTTTGTTGTGTTTGAGATCACTTCTGGTTTTTTGTTTTTTTTCTTATTATTATTTTGTTTTGTCTATGTTTTGATTTAAAACAAAACATGTTTGAAAAGATATTACATGTTTAGCTGTTATTTAAAACAATTAAAATAATTTTTAGATGCTTCGAATAAAAATAAGTAATAAAAATATTCAAAAAATGCACTATAAATATGTTTTAAAATAGAAGGATAAACAAAAATAACAAATGAAAAACAAAAATGATCCCAAACAAACCGTAAGAATTTCTATCAGTAACGTTAGCTATGCGATATTAGTAAAAACTCTATTTTTTATACCCTAGAAAACAAGTGCTCATAGATCTTTGTTGCTGATGATCAATTGTTTTCTATTGTCATTTATTAAACGTTATGATCAGATGGAAAAAGCAAAGATTTGTTAACCATGAAGCAAGAGGAAGCAGAATGGATAGAATACCAAAATGTGACTGAGGATGTAATCATGAGGAGTGGTTTGGATAAGAAAGTTTTCTATGATGTCAGGGGAAATCATGATAGCTTTGGTGTGCCAGATTTTGGCGGTGAATATGACTTTTACAGCAAGTATAGTATCAATGCACGACTAAAACGAGATGGAAATGTTCAAAGTGTCACTTTACAGGTAATCATTTTATACTAACCTTTGGCCTTGAAACATTTGGTTCATAGGTAGGTATTTTAGGCTACGTATTCTGATAAGTTCATAATCACAATAAATCGGAATCTCTGTTTTTTTCTACGTCTCAGACAAAAAACCCTCTTATAGTTCTTTATGTTTTATGTGTTATCATGAAGCACTTCATAATCACTTCATTTAGATAGCCGAAGCTGAAATAAACACTAGGATTTCTATATATTTATAGATTGTATATAACTTTGTATAATATCTATTTCAATCATCTTGCTCTCTAGTTTTTTTTCCCCACTCCCAAAGTAGCTTCATATTTTTAAGGTACAGTGTTTCTAAGTTGTATATCAAATGCAGTACAAGGGATGGAAACATCTTTTTGTCGGAGTTGATAGTTTCATGGAGATCGGTCTTCGTGGTCCCACAAATTTATTTGGGCATCTAACTGACGAGCTGCTATCTGATTTAGACAAGGAACTTGGTCAGTGGGATGCTCGATCCACAGAGTCTATAACAAAAATTTCATTTGGGCATTTTCCCTTGTCATTTACAGCAACAACTGTCACGGGGAAAAATATCAAGGATGTGTTCCTTAAGCATTCATTATCAGCTTACCTTTGTGGTCATCTCCACACCAGGTTTGGCAAGAACCTAAAGCGCCATCATGTTGAATCAACAGGGACATATTATCAGTTAAACATGCACCAAGGGAACCCTAGTTATAAGAATAATGAAAATTGTTCAGCAAATGCTGAATTCTCTAAAGAGTTTTGGGAGTGGGAGATAGGTGATTGGAGAAGAAGCAGAAGCATGAGGATTGTTGCCATTGATTCTGGTCATGTTTCTTTTTTAGATCTAGATTATCATCTGGGATCGAAGGACACAATCATCTTACCTACATTTCCTTTGGATTCGAGGTTTATGCACAGAATTTCATCTCCTCGTGATTTCCAATGTCTATCAAAAGAAATTTCATCCTTTGAAACAGTAAGAACTCTAATTTTTTCAAGAAGAGTGATCGTTTCCGTTTCATTGAAAATATACGACTCCAGGTCTGGTCACTTTCATTTGGTACTAGATCAAGAGATGATAAAGCTAAAAGCTAATGAAACTAGGGGTGACATGTATGTGGCTCCATGGAATTGGAGAGCTTTTATAGATCCATCTCCAGACCGTTTTTTACTACAAATTGTAGCAACTGACATTTCAGGAAAATATACTTATAGCCAGCCAAGGCCATTCTCTATCAATGGCTTAACTGCATATGCCAATTGGAACTGGAAGGAATTTTTTGTATTGGGTGTTCAATGGGCTGCTCTATATCAACCCCTTTTGCATTTTTTGCTTACACTTCTCTTCACACTGCTTCTTATCCCACAAACTTTTCTCATTTTCTCCAAGAATCATACTACCTACAACAACAATAACCGTGCCGGCAGTGAAGAGAAGAGCTTCTCTGCATGTTTCGTTGATACTGGAATTTTTGTTTTGGTGGAGCTTTGCCGGATGACGGAAATATGGTGGGGAATTCTTTTATATCTACTGTACCTGGTGTTTTTTCCTTGGTTCTTTGGTCATGTGTCCACTGAGGATGGAAAGTTGTCCTACATGACCCAAAGAGGGTGGTCCGTTTCACCTTCGAAGAGTGGAAGTCAAAACGTTTATATTGGTGTGCCAGATATTATGGTTATTGTTTTGCCTCACCTTGGTTTTGTAGTTTTACCGACTGTTCTTGTCTTAGGTGCTATAGTTGCAGAAGCAAGAGCATACCGTGCACATTTACATTCACTTTCAGGTAAGAAAGAAGATGATCATTACAAAGAAAGAAAGAGATATGTCAAATTTCGAAGCTTTTCTGATGCATTTGGAATTTGGAGTAGGCGTTGGATTAGGAAGTTATTATTTATCATTTGTCTGCTGATATTGTGGAAACACTGGAAGGTAAAAGTTTTATTTTTTATTATTAATCAAATTTTATTGTTTTTTGCATATTTGGTCAAAATTATAGTATATTTTTCATGTTATAAAAAAAATTTATGACATCTACAAAATTTAATTAATTGGTAGGCTATTGAAATTTAATCCACATTCAGTAATACGGGTTAGGTGTGGTGGGCATTTAGAGACATATTTTCATGTGTTGATATTTGAATAAAAAATAGCTGCAATCAACCTACTGGTGATGATATGTAGTTTAGAAAGAATTAATTTTCTTGTACTCGGTAAAAATTAACCTTTACAAACATTTATTTCTATTTATGGTAAATAATTAATTTTTTGTCGGTCTCCTAGTTCTATAATTTCTGTGCTTGATGAAGGCTCAAAAAGAAAAGAAAGATTTTATAATTAATTAAAATCGTGTTTAGTTGAATATAATCAGCTAAATCAAGGATATCAAGACATTTGAGCACAAAGTATATATATATATATATATATATATAGGGAGAAACTTTGTTTAATCGGTACTATGACTTGGCTAATTTTCCTCTGAGAAAAGAATATCAAGAATTATATTGAAAAATGAAAATGATAAATGCGGCTTGCTGCCGACTTAATTACTTATGGATTATAATTGATTTAACATATTCATAACTCAAATGTTTACATCTTGATTTGGCCCTTTGCGCGATGGGCCAAGCAGAGGCGACAAGCCCACAACCAACGAGCAAAGCTGCGAAGCCAGCAAGCCCATGACACTGGGCCTTCTCGATCCAAATCAGAGTAGAAAGTTATTTGCCCGTGCCAATCTTAACGACAGTCATCGCTCGATTATGCAGCTTGTCTTCTTCCTTGTCTAAAATCAATGACTACTTGGCTCGATTAACTATTCCTATATCACCATAATAATCATCAATTAATTTATCACCACAAATATGATGGAATGGATTGAACTCGGTTCAAGTATGAGATGATCAAAATGAATATAACAACATCAACAACAAAAGGTCTTTATCCAACAAAGTGAGGTCGGCCACATGAATCCTTTTTCTTCACTGTGTCCTATTGAGTGTCGTATTTTCATTTAATTCTAAAAGATTAAGATCCTTTTTACAATATGCCCAAGTCTTTTAAGTCTACCTCTGCCTTTGTTAACATAAATCGAATCTAAAACACATACTCTCCTAACCGGATCATCACATGGTTGATGTTTAATGTGACCAACCCATCCAAGACAATTCTCTCTAATTTTGTCTGCAACTGGAGCTACACTAACCCTATCACGGATATATTCATTTCACATTTTGCATCTAAGTGTAAAGCCACCCATCCACCTAAGCATTCTCATCTCGGCAACACTTAACTTAGTTTTAAGATTCTCTTTTAAAGGCCAACATTAGCGCCATAGAGCATTGCAGGTCTCACCACCATCTTATAAAATTTTCCATTCAGTCTAAGCGATACTTTTCAATCACACAATAGGTTTGAAGCATTCCTCTACTTTAACGAACCAATTTGAATTCTACTAATAACATCCCCATCTATATCACCTTTACTTTGAACAATACACATTCAAGTAAAAATGTTTCTGGACCTGCCCCACCTCATACATGTCCCTCCTCCGCTCCTCAGTGCATTCCACAAAATATTGAAAC